ATATATAGATATTCACACCTGCCCCTTGGGGATATTTAGGTACTTCCCTTATCTGTTCACACAGGGGCCGTGTGCATGTATTATAAAAGCATTTATCACATATAATAATTGTGGTATACATGTCTTCCCTACTATACTCTGAGTTCCTTGTCTGTAGGTACTTTCTTTTTTTATTTCTATTTTGAGAGAGAGAGAGGGAAAGAGAGAGAGAGAGAAGGAGAGAGAGAGAGTGAGTGGGGGGAGAAGGGGCAGAGAATCCCAAGCAGACTTTGCTGTGGGTGTGGAGCCTGACATGGGGCTTAATCCCAGGACCCTGAGATCATGGCCTGAGCCAAAAGCAAGAGTTAGAGGCTTAACCAACTGAGCCACTAGGTATTCCCAGTAGGTAGTTTCTCATTCATCTCTATATTCCCAGGACTTAACAATGACCGTTCCATTGGGGTGCTCTATACATTTTTCTTCTTTTATTGAATATTTGGGGAGTGACTTGCTGGCTCAGTCAGTGGAGTGTGCGACTCTTGATCTTGGGGTTGTAGGTTTGAGCCCCACGTTGGGTGTAGAGATGACTTAGAAATAAAATCTAAAAAAAAAAAAAAAGAATATATATTTGGATCAGTCATGGATTTCCAGATATATTCTTAGATACCCGATCACGACAAACTGTGACTAGATCTCCAAAGCAAATTTCCTTCCATCTGCACCGGGGCTGCTCCTTGACCCAGTTTATGTGTAGCTTATGTGTCAGTACTTCCCTACTTCCCTTTCCTTTGAACTGGTATTCTAGTCTCGCTATGCAAAAGTTTACTGTCAACTCCATGATTCTAGAAGAATAAACCTGTGGGTAAAGTGGTTAATTACTCATTTAGGAGTATGGATTTAGCTGGCTTTATATTTCATAAAGATTCATAGACCGATGCCCCCAAAGATGAGCTGCTTAGTCTTAATCTAAGTACAGGTGAGCTACCTGCTAGATAGACCAAGAGTCTATCCAGTCCAATATTCTAACATACTGCTAGCTTACTTTAATTTATGGAAGACTTTCTATTAAAAGCTGACATTTATTATAATTTCAGTATACCCTTTGACAATGGAAGCTGAGGCTTAGGGATTATTTTAGTCAGCTCCGGCTGCTGTAACAAAATACCAGAGGCTGGGTGGCTTGAATAACAGATATTTATTTTCTCACTGTTCTGGGCGCTGAAAGTCCTAGATCAAGGTGCGAGGTTCTGGTGAGAGCCCCCTTCCTGGCTTGCTGGTAGCTGCCCTCTTGCTCTGTGCTCACAGGACCTTTCCTCGGTGCCTGCATGTGGAGAGAGAGCTCTGGTATCGATTTCTAGGACATCTGGATGGTATCCATCTAACCTAAATATCATCTAGACTTAATACCTACCTCCAAATATTATCACATTAAGGGTTAGGGTTTCAACATATGAATTTGGCAAGGGAATGAGGTGTGTTGGGGGGTGGGTCAGGGGGATATGAAAACATTCAGTCCATAAAATGACCAAACCACTTTCCTCTGGGTACTCAATCGAGAAGCAGGGCAGATGCTGACTCAAAACATTGTTTTATTTTCCCTAATAATTTGTTTTTATTGCTTTTCATACATGGATACTCAAATAATTAGCATATTAAAAAGCAACATGTTACCAGTTCTCATTGATTATCTCCTAATGTATTTGGCAAAACATGACTCTCTCCTTAATGTTTATTTTTCCTTTATGTTGTTCCGTATTTCTCAGCTGCTCGAGTGGAGGCGAACAATATAGGGTCTCTCTCCCTCTCGCTCTTTAAAGTTTTCTCAGAAGAAAAAAAAGAGGACTAGGCTCTCGGTGCTTCTGGCAATTTTATTCTAACACGAGAAGTCCCCAGATTGTAATTCTGATAAGCATTTCAGTTCTTTCTTGAAAAATTAAATTCACAAAACAATTGATTATCAGTTATAAATGGCAAAAACACCATCTGGCTTTCAAAATTGGTTAAATCCATGTAGCAAGGGGAAAAAATGTTGGAACTTGTAGTTGGCGAGGAGTTCTGGTCCACGAAGCAGAAAATGACGAGCTTTACTATGAGAAAGCCAGAGTAGTCATAACTTGTACTTAGCGGCTGCGGGAATTTGATACGTTCTTCACATGTTCCATATGTTAAATCGCTTGGCGAGATCTTCAGTGTGAAAGAGCTGAGGTGGGGGGAGAGGAGCATGGCTAGTGTATAGGTTAGCAACAGCTTCATCTTAAGTTTTCAGCTCTGGTTCTCTCCATGCAGAGCAGTGCTAAAGATGTCCCACCGACCTGGGAAGTTGGATGTGCAGATTCCTTAAGCTTATGACACAGGTGGTTGATTTTGGGGTGGAATTTCTAACACTATTTGCATTCCTCTGGTGAGGTAAGTCACACAGCATTAGCATTTCCTACAGAAATGTCCCATATTGTTCTTTGCCAATTGGAAATTTGAGTAGGTGTTCATTTGATGTGCCAAGAGAATGAAGGGAGATGAAAACACTCCACATCTTCCAATGTCCCCATACTGTGTTCCTAGTGTGGGAGGCTTGGGGCCTAACTAGATTCTCTTGGAGATCCAGCCTCATAAGGAATGCTTTTCCTTAGGAGTGTAATGCAATCCTGTTATTTAAAAAAAAAAAAAATGTTTCTCAGTTGCTGGCATATTTTTGCCTTATGTTAAAAATGTAGTGATCCTGTGCTTATTATTCATGCATTGTAATGTGATGTTTATTCATTCACTTAACAAATATTTGTTGAGGCATGGTATAGCATATAGTGGTTAATTGCACAAGCCCTGTCTGCACCTTAGAAACTTTGACCTCGGGGCAGTTGCTTAATCTTTCTAACTATGTTTAAAAAATATAAAATGGGAGATAATAGTACGTGCCATGGGGATTGTTCCAAGTATTGAATGAGATTATGTATGCAAAATACTTAATAAAAACTCAATAATTGCAAGACTAGTAATAATAATAATAGCAGCAAATATAAATATGACTCTTAGCTAGGGTGCTAGAGTTCCTGGCATATAGGACCTTATTTTATAGTTAACACATCGCTTTCAACATACATACAGCCTCAAAATTTTTTATCCTGATTTTGGCGTGACTCTCTGCTCTGCCTTTGGTCTGCCCAGGTAGCTGTGCCTCCAAGGGTGTTAAGAATACATGGGACTTTGCAGAGTGGACATTATCCCGGTGACCACATGGTGATGGTTTCCTGCCTCATGTAGCACTGTCTGCTGGAGCTTTCCTGAGTTCTGGAGGACTGCCTGTAGTTTATGCATCAGGGCCTGTAATTACGGAGCAGAATACCCAGGGCTGGGAAGACAGGGCAGTCTTGAAATTAGTTTATGCATAATGGATAATAAGGAGGCTGTTTTTAAGTGTAACTCATTTGGTGGGTTGGCAGATCTCGACTTCCTTTTTGATATGTCATGTTTATTTATTTATTTATTATTATTATCTTTTAGCTAAACGAGGACAGAGGGCCAGGCGAGTCATTTGGTGCAGCTCCTCTTGACTGCAGCTCAGTCTTAGCAATTTACATTCAGTAATCTCTTGGTCATTTAGCCACAGATAATTTGTCATGGTTTGTTTTAGCTGTTGTGATATTGATATTTATTATGCAAATTGTATTTCCTACATCTTATTGTTCTGCATTCTATGAATACTTAAATTATTATAAACCTTTACACTTAATATGGCTCGTCCTTCAATTTGATGCTTGAGCAACAGAGGGTCAGAGCGCATACGATCTTCTAGAGGGGAAGAAAATAAGTAATTAAAAAGCAGACAAACAAGGGAGCCGGCTGCCTGGTTGAAAAGAAAGCAGAGGCAATTTCGGGGAGAGACAGCGAGTCCGGAGAAGCAAATCGTTTCAGCCGGGAGAGCCCGCCTCTCCCAGAGACACGGGAAGCTCGGAGCACCTGTTGGTCCCCAGCCGCCTTAGGAAGGGACTGGGGCGTCGAGAAGGAGGGAGTGGGTTTGAGCCCCTTCCAAGGACGAAGATGGCAGACCCTCTCTTCATGGGCACCCCCATCCCACCCCCAGCCTCCGCCCTCCACCCTCCACCCTCCACCCTCCACCCTCCACCCTCCACCCCGGAGCCTTGACGGAAAATATTTTTTTGTTGGATGTGTGTAATCGTAAATATACATCATTGCACTTGTGTCAAAGGTATTTAAATACGCATGTATCTATATAAGGCCGGAGGGAGACCCTCTGCAAGCTGGGGAGCCAGAGCCGACCCTCCCCGATCTACCTTTCCGGAAAATATACCGCAAGGCTACCGACTCGAAAATCCCAGAGCCCGACTCGGGTTCCTTTCTCCCAACTATGCCCAAGTCTACCGCTAGGCTGTTGAGCGGGCTCTCCCGCTCCGCCGGACGTGCAAAGCACGCATGCACTTCTCCCAGATTGTTTTGTCAATCCGGGGACCTGCATTCTCATTCTCCACTCCCGAGCAGCCCCCGTTTCCCAGAGATCTATTCCTTCGGTGCAAGGTGAGTGACGGAGATTTGCAACGTGTGGTTTCCAGGCCGGATGCACCCGGTGTCCCGGGCACGCGAGCCTCCTCCGCGGGAGACAGATTCTCCGGCGGCCGGTCGGCTACAGCGATTGCTGCATACGTTCCTAATATAGATAGGTGTTCGGGAAGCGAGACCCGCCCCCTGGAGCCCGGGCCCCCACAAGCCGGGCGCCCAGGAGAACACTTTTTCCCTGATTCCGGGGAAGCGAACACGAATTTTAACATAAACATATTTGCATACGCCCCGCCCCCGGCCCCGCCCCCAGGTGGCGCGGGCGCGCCGCCGAGCGCCAGCGCCAGGGGGCGGGGTGGGGGAGGGGGCGAGTCCTGCGAGAGCCGGGTTGGGCTAGCGGCGCTGTGATTGGCCGGCCCGGGCTCCGCCCCCAGCGCATGTCATTAGCATCTCATTAGCTGTCCGCTCGGGCTCCGGAGGAAGCCACCGCCGCCAGTCTGAGGCAGGTGCCCGACATGGCGAGTGCTGTGCTGCCGAGCGGGTCCCAGTGTGCGGCGGCGGTGGCGGCGGTGGCGGCGGCGGCGGCGCCTCCCGGGCTCCGACTCCGGCTTCTGCTGTTGCTCCTCTCCGCCGCGGCCCTGATCCCCACAGGTAGGTGTGGGCACCGGCCGGTCGGCCCTCCAAATCTCCTAAGGCACCCCAGTAGCCATGGCCGTGGAAGGGGGAAACGTTTCCATGACAACCTTCCCCCACTTCCTAAATCCGAATCGGAGGGAGTGTGGAGAGGAAACTCCGGGCTGAGCTGGAAGGGGCAGAGGGATCGGGGGTCCCCTTTCCCCCCCGCCCATCTGGGTGGCAGCCGGAGCCCTGGGGGATGGCTGCACCGGTACCTTTTCTCCCCGGCTTGGCGCGGGGTGCGGAGGGGACTGGAAAGGGGGGGCCCGGGGGCTCGAGAATAGGGGAGAAGGGGAATGGACGGAGGGACCCCCAGCCTTCCGCACCCTCCCAAACTCGCTGTCGTCCCCGTAACTTGCAGGTCCCCCCGTCCCGGGGCTGGCCGTTCGCCCCCACCTCTCCAGCGGGCCCCCTACATCCCTGTGCCCCACACCTCCCGAGCTGACCCGCAGCCGCCTCCAGCGTGCTTGCCCCCCGAGCTCCAGGACGTCCCCGGACCTGCCCGCGCTGTCCCCGCGCTCTGCCTCCCCCCACCCCCGTCCCCCGAACCGCGCGCCCCGCGCGTGCCTCCCTCCGGCCGGATCGCGGCCCTCCGCACCCCCCGGCCCCCGGCCCCGGCCCGCGGCCCCCGCCACCCGGCTGCGGGGCTCCCGGGCTCGGCTCCAGGCAGGGAAAGTTCCTCGGGCCCGGCCCCGCGGGGGGGGGGGGCTGTCGCCGCCTCTGCGGGCAGGAACCGGAGCCCGCAGCCCGCTGGCCCCACGGCGTCCGCCGCCGCTCGTGGGGACGCCGGATTCCCAGGCTGCGCGTCGTCCCCGGCGGCTCCGCGGCGGTGGAGGGAGGTTCGCGGCCTCTGCGGCCAGGCGGGCACCCTGCGGGCCTCGGGGCGCCCCGGGGCGCGGAGCTGCCTTGGGGATTTGCCCGGGGGCGGCTCTGCACGCCCGGCGCCTTCCCCGGAGACGCCGAGCACTCGGCAGGAGCACGATGTGCGGCTGCCCGTGTGCCGGGCGCGTTGGCGCGGTCGGGAAAGAAGAGGGCAGTGTTTGCTTTTGCTAACAAAAGGGAGCCGGAGCTCTTCCCCAGCCGAGAGGCTGGCCGTCCTGCGCCCTGCCTCCCCTTCCCGCCACCGCCGCGCTCCGCGGCCGCGCGGCGTCCCCGCGCCCCGGGCCTCCCGCTGCGGGCTCCGGGCGGGCGGCGGGACCGGGCGGCGCGGGGCCCGCGGCGGGGGCGGGGGGCCGGGGGGATGCAGCGGGGCTCGGCGCCTGCAGAGCCCCTCCTCGCAGCTCGGGAGCCGCAGGACCGCGAGCAACAAGTGGCGGAGGACGCGGAGAGCTCAGCCCCCACCTGCGGAGCCCCCGGCCGCGGCGGGCGCAGCGCCGGGCCCCCGTGCCTCTCCCGCGCGCCTCTCGGCTTGGGCTGTGCCTTTTGTTTACACGCTAGAGGACACACAGTTACGTAAACACCGCAGGAGACACGCCGTAGGAAATGGGGATGTCGGGGGCTGCGAGCTTCGGATCCGGGGATGCCGGGTTGCTTGCTACCTCCCCACCCCTCCCCACCCCTCCCAGGCAGGCGTGCAAGGGAGCTCGGCTTGGGGAGCGTATCGGGGATGTACAGGGGTGGGAATCTGGCAGCAGCTCAGTTCCAGAGCTGAGGATTTTTTTTTTTTTCCCTTCCATGCCACTGCATGTCTCCGGATGTTGTTTATGTGTGTGTGTGTGTGTGTGTGTTTCCTTCCCTCTGTGAATTCTTAATTTATGAGTTACGAGATAATTGGGTTCAGCCTATTGCCGGTGTGGTTACAACTTCATTTCGGGTGATGTCTCTGACTGGATGGGTTCAATAAAATGTTCCTGAAAGAGATCCCTCGCGCTGCTGCATTGTAAAAAGCGCCAGTGTCAGTTAAACGTGAGCGTGAGTAAAGGCTCGGTAACTGGCGCATAATAGAGGCAACAATAGACTTGTATTGGCTGCAAAAAAAAAAGGGGGGGGGGAGGACGGCGCTGGTCGGGGATTTTGCCTTTTGACTAAAAATGGGAGCGGTGCAACGCGCGCTTGGCAGCGGAGTAGGGTTAGCTGGTACCTCCTCTGTCAAGCCTGCTCATTGACGGCACCGGGTAGTAGCAGCTGTACTATATTTGTAACCATCTCGCCGTGAGAAGTTGCCTTCCCAGCGAGGGATGTATGCGGACCCGAAAGGAGAGCGGTCTGGAACTCAACCGTGCATGTCAAAGCTGCAAGAAAATTCTGTTGCCAGTTACCATGGAAGCAGCTTCTTGCTCTTGTGTACATCCGTTTGTACGCTGGTTATCAGATTGTGTTCAAATTAGAAAGTAATTGGGCTTGATTTGTAGCGAGGGGGTGAGATGACTTTCTTTAAATCTGTTTTTTTCTCTTCTGCGCTGCTTGGTGATGGCATTGGGAAGGGGTCTTGGCCTAGCCCCCAGGTCCTGGGCTGCCCGAGTTAGACTTCAGGTGGGACCCGGGGCACTTTGCTTCCTTCGGCCTCTCCAGCTAAGCTTTCTCCCAGAGGCCTCCAGGTGCCACTGTCAGGTTAGAGAAACCTGTTGGCGTTGCCTTCTAACTTCATTAGGCGTGTTTCTTTTACGGGCTCGCTGGGATAGAGATCTGGGGCCATCGTGCTGTAGGTCCTGGTTCTGTCTTCCCCTGTAACTGAATCCATCCATCCCCTGGAGAGCATCTCCCATCCCACCCGTGGTGTGTGGATTAAATGGACGGTAATGAAACACAGCCGAAATGGGGTTGTGGAGACTCACTCCTCCGTGTAAATCACGCCTGTTATTACGTTTTAGGTGCACGCGTGGTGCCGCTTCTCAGCCCTCCTGAGCTGGTGGCTCATTGCCCTACTCTTACCTTTTTGTAGCATTAGAGAGGATGGCCGGTGGGTGGGGGTTTGTGATGGTGCTGGCAAGCCGAGGGGCTGAGTTTTGCTTGTCTTGACCTGTTGGGGCTTGTGTCCCGGGGATGGGGACTTTACAAAAGTGCCGTCCTGCTATTGTTGCCTTTCCCTGCATCAAATTGAATGGCCGCAGGAGGGACTTGCACTTGTCTGTGATAGCTTTGATAAAATATCCCTCATTAATGCCACTTTATATTTACAGTGTGTCACTGGAGACGCACAAGGCTTCATTTAGTGACTTGTGTGACGAGACAAGCTTGCATTATTTGCCTGGGACGTTTTGGAGGAACAAGAGGCCCATTGAGCAATCTTTTGAAATGAACAAATACGGAAAAAGGGGGGAATAAAAGAGCAGGCAGTTCTCTGGAACAAAGAGCTTTATTCATATGGATGTTGTACATGCTTTATCCAGTTTTCCCCAATGGCCCTCCTGGTTAAGGGGAGTGGGACAGGGAAGAAGCCAACAAGCAGGACACTTTCGCTTCCTCTCCCACTTCCTGACTTCATATTCTTACCGAGTGGGTCCCGGATTCCCTGACTGCTCATCTTGCTCCACTCCCTCTAAAAGCCCAGAAGGTAACAGGTTCCTAGGTTTAAAAAGAGATTTTGAAATGCTTTCTCCTAGCTCTGAATTTCAGCCGAAGACTGTGCTAGCTACCTGTTGAGACTGCTGGTCATTGGAGGACATACTGGTTGAAGGGAAAGAGATGTCACTTTTTTTTTTTTTTTTGACATGTGTCAAGAAGTGGTTGATAGAGAATGTCAGATTGGTAAGATATCTTGCAAACTGTAATTTCAGTCTTACTATTTATTTTTAAAGAGATGCAGTAAAAACTGAAATCCAAATTTTTCATCATCATTAATGGCGCTCTTGGAGTTTTACCGTGACTTTTGCCCACACCTGGTACATTTTGGCCTCAGACCTAAGTGAATTTTTAGAATTCCTGGGTCTGCATTGCTACATGATTTTTTAGGCTTTACAAAATTGGCAATATTGCTGTGAATAGAAACTGTCTCATTCTCTGGGTTTTTGTATGTGACATTTTAATGCCTAATCGGCCACTTGGAATTTACATTTTAAAAATGGGTGTGTGTGTGTGCGCGCGCGCGCGCGCGCGCGTGCACGTTTAACAAAAGGCCTGTTTTTATGTGGGAGATCTCTTAAATTGGGCCAAACTATGCTATGATTTGAATGGAAATTTACTAGCCTATGAAGAACATTTATAAGAAATAAATCCTAAGGATTCAAATGCTATATCTCTTTCTTGGGAAGAATCGTACTTGACCATTACGCTGGGCATTTTTAGCTGAAAATCCAGCATAGAAAGGAGAAATCACACAGCGACATCTGTTGCAGAATTGAAAATTTGCTGCTTTGAGTTGGAAGCAATTAGTCCCATATAGGCACCTAATGGTAACCGTCAGTGGGTATATGCAAGTACATCTGTACACACACATATGTATACATATAGACACACATATACAGAAAGTCACCCAGTACAATATTCATATTCACACTGAAATGTATATGATAGAAAATGTACCATTATAACACCAAAGCTCCTTTTTCTTATTACCTGTTGAGGAACTAGAGAGTCTTATAATCGTGGAATTTTTGTAAGGGGAAGGATGCTACAAATAGTCTGGTGAAATCTCATTATTTTGTAGTGAGGCAGCCGGAGCCCAGAGGGGGAAGGACCCTGCTGACCGTGGAACTGAGGATGAGCGGGTGATGCAGCCGGGCCTGGGAGCGGGTTCCATTATGTAGAGTCAGCAGCCCTGTTCCACCTCCCAGCAGGGATGCCCCAGTGAGGCATGTGGATCACGGGCAGACCATATCTTGGCTAGGTCTAGTTTATATTGTGAAGACAGCAAGATTAATTGTTGTTCTGGGTAATAAACCCATGGATCAGAGGAGTGACCTCTGAGATAAAAGAACCTGTTCTTGGTAAGGTTGCCTTTGGTGTTGACAAATGATACTGAAACCTCTGGACTTTATTTGGCAGTGACCACATGAATGTCGTCCAAGGCACCTCATAGGGGAGGGCTTTTGGATTTG